TGTCTGTAAATGCAGGAGTAGAAGTATTCTCCTCAAGGTAGCCTTTAGGTAAAAGCCTTATTACAAGGCAATGGCAATATCCGCAAAATCTAGTTTTCTTGTCTTTTAAATTCAAGTCTGGAACAGGCCCGCTTGGAGAGGTTTATCCCTAATTGAATGCTTTCCCATTTTGGCAATCTGTGCACCAACCTTTGGCTTATCTCACAGGCAGCCATAAGGCTTACACAGTAACAAACAGAGAGCAGAGTTTCACAACAGCTTCTTGTAGGGTTCAGCGTCAGCATTGTTCATCCTTGTATAGAACACAATGCTCTATGAGCAGGAAGCCATGGCAATGGTTCAGAATTCATGTCTGCTGTAGAAAATATATTGTTTACCTGTGGTTAGGTGCAAATGACACAAAACATTTCTATGTGAATGCCTTACTTTAAAGTGCCAGCGTGCAGTTGTAGCTCTTCTACCGATCTTAAATGTAAAAGATGACTGCATTCAGAGCCACTTGGTGGGGTCCTAGAAGGTGATATGAAATAAATTGGCCTATTTATGTAGATGGTCATTAGAAATACAGCATGGTCAGATGTGCTAGCTCGATTCAAACACCATTTTCTCTTTAGTCGAACCATAGTCTAACCTGCAGTATGTGTGGATACCCATAGACATGACATGATTGGCACACTAGAGACTAGGGATAGGAGTGGATGATGTCATCAAAAGCCACAAAAAAAAAAAGAACCAGGCACTGTACACGCTTGCAGTCCTAAATAACATTTACAGTTCAAAAGGTAATACTAATAAAATAACATAACTGCTTCTGGTTACTTATGTAAATAAAGATCTACTCTCTAATGTGCATGTTTCTGTCTATGAGCTGAACTAATATATCATATATCAGTAATGTCACTGGTTGTTAGGTTGAAGCACCAAATTAACTACCATTAGTGATAGATGGGTAATACAGTTGCTCTGTGTAATGGTCTCACCCCGCCCCCTGCCGGGTGCCCCCATAGCAAGCCGTTTGCTATGGGGGCACTTTTGTATTCTTGATCAGAAGCCCTGTTCTGTATGTCCATAAGACACATAGTGGGGCTCGGCCCTCATCACTGGCTCAGATTGACAGCAGCGGGAGCCAATGAGGAGTAAGAGAGCCTCTGCTTTTGTGTACATTGCTGGATCAAGATTGGGCTCAGGTATGTAGTTAGGGGGGCTGTGGGGGAAACTGCATGCAGAACGTTTTTACCTTCATGTGTAGAATACAATAAGGTAAAAAAAAAACCTGCCTTTACAGGAACTTTACTCTGAATGTCAGATATTAATAAACACTATGTAATCCAGGTATGTATATAATCCAGTTGTGTATTCATTAAAAGTATATAAATGTAATCTACATAGAAATGGTATAGACATTCTGACTTGGAAATGGAGGGTCAGAAGTGGGAACCAGTGAGGACTTGGTTTTCAAATTGCAGCCAGTCACATTTTCAACATGGGAAAGAGAGCACAGGAATCACATGATCAGTATGTTGCTGCTCCTTCATTGTCCAATCAGCTGACTGGGGTCAGGTCATTGACTAACATTGTACTACTTACCTGAATTTGGGGTCACAGATTTAGCTATGCCGTGTGGCATTTCAAGCATCTGCATTCCACCACCTTTCCCAAAACAGCAGTATTAGCGATGATGTGGACCTTGCTAGCGTGCTGGCCATTGTTTCAAGTTTGAGCACTCTGTGCTACATCAATATGGCAAACCAAGGGCCAATTCAATAAATCATCTTAGAGATCTGGGACACTGTATCATAATCATCAGAAGCAGCCAGAACCTACCCCTATCCCACACACATCTGCTACACTCTGAGCCAATAAACACAAGCTGTTAAGAGACACCAGCCTGGGTACAAAACAGGGATCTATGGAGCCAAAAAGGTATGGTTAGCTCATGCACATTGTACAGAAATACCAAATATGCACAGCTTGAAACATTGTGTTTCAAGCTGTGCATTTTTTTAAATTTCTTTACAATTTTGGGTGCTGATATTGTTGTAGTAAATTGGTTTCGTGACCTAAATTTTGATTTACCCAACACCTTGCCACTGTAGACAGTGTGAATAATCATGAAAATCAATTATCTTGACCATCTATCTGAACCATTAGCATCTTGCATCAGTAGTCTCCTTTGTTTCTAGAGCCGTGACCTGATATTATTTATTTATTTCAGATGCTTATATAGCGCCATCAATTTACGCAGCGCTTTTATTATATATATATATATATATATATATATATATATATATATATATATATATATGTATATATATATTACATTCACATCAGTCCCTAACCCTCAAGGGGTGTACAATCTAAGGTCCCTAACTCACATTCATTCATACATACACATACTAGGGCCAATTTAGACAGGACCCAATTAACCTACCAGCATGTCTTTGGATATTCTGACCAGTGCTAGTTTAGTTGATGCTACGTAAGAGAGAATGAAAGCGCAGAAGACAAACTGTGAAAATCGGGTATTTGGAAACTTAGAATGAGGTGGCTACACTTACTGCTGTATATCCTGGGATAATGCATGACCCTATGCTTACCTCTGTACAACATTGAAAAAAATAATGAAGTTCTCTTTTTGAAATTCATGGAAAAGTATTGGAATTTAGGCCATAACTTTTGTTCATTTTTAGTAGCCTGCTGGCGTTCTACCCCTTCGTCACGCTATATGTGGTTCTGTTGGCAAAATTTCACTTCCTGTCCCTGTCACAAAAATCAAATCGCAATCAGCATGAAAACTTCCATGAAATCGTAATATGTGTCATACCAATTTCATTTGTGAGCAGCACCATCGTTGCCTGTCAACGGAAATTATTTTCGATTGCAACGCAAAGTTAGACGGAACGAAACCGTTAACAAGTGTGCCATCTCGTTTGCTTGCCGTGGCCAGCCACTTGTTTACACAAAATTCTCCCTGTGTGCCAGACAGGCATGTCAATAGCATTCATATGCATAGTGGACTTGATTATATGTGGCCCATTTTTCTACAGTATTGAAATGTATCTGCCCAGAATGTAAGTGAATGATTCTTTCTCTGTCTTTTGTCTGACTCTGGCCAGGACCTCAAACTATAAAATATAATAGGGATACCTTGGATTAAAATGTTAACGTCAGTGCTGCCCTTAGGCTCCACTGTAATGAATATGCCAGCCTGAGGTCTCCTGGGTCCAGTTAGCTAGGAGATGCCTTTTTTGACATTATCAATATATGTCTTACTCCTCAAAGGCTGGCTGGGTAATTCTGCAGGAAACATTTGTACCTTTTCCCTATAAGGGGATTGTGCTGTGCTCAATAAATGGTTATTTAGTAATACTGATAATAATAGTATTTATATAACGCTTTTCTCCCTGGGGGTCTCAAAGTGCTTATCAAATTGGCGTTGGGATCTTTGAAGAGAAAGAATTGTCAGGTGTTGCTATAAGCCTGGATGAATAGATGGATGATTATTATGATAATCAGACGTTAGTAGGATGTTGGGTTAGAGCTTTGATGTTTGAGTCTGAAGGGGTTAAGCTGGTGCTTCTGATTTTGGGAGTCCTGGTATGTGCATGTCAATTGCTGATGGTGGGGAGGATGTCTGTGTGTTTCAGAGAGGGTGAGCGTGTCTGTGTGTGGGTAGTTTCTGGCTCAGTGTACAAGCCTGTAGGTTCCTGCCCTTCCTTGTCTGTAACGTTCCTGGCAGTGGCACACCATAAAGGTTGCATGGAGATTTTCCAGTGTTTGCAGAATTCGTGACCAGGCATACCGTCTGCGACTTTGTACAAACTTCGCCTGTGCTTGTTTGTCTGCCCTTTATACCACCACAAAACAAATGCTTGCTCTGCCTCGGAGGCAGCCATGGCCAGTTGTTTCCTGCTTGACGTACGAAGTTGCCAACTGCCTTTGGGACAGTACCATACTTCGTAGATTTGACCACATTACTGCATTAAACATGCCAACAATGTATATTATGATTCACTAAATCTATTTAATAAATGGATATTTAGCTTTTGATGGTCCATCTAAATGGCAGAGTACGATAAGCTGATGACAACTGGACAGCAACGCTGGACACTCATAAAATATTAGCAACTATTCAGTTTGTGTATGGATAGCAGCACTCCGTGTAAGGATCAGATTCAGTTTTGACAACTTTGATAAATGTTTGTATTTTTTATGTTAAATTCTCTTTCTTGAGTTAATATGCTGTCTTTTGTTTGGCATGTGCTTTATACATACGTTGAGCTGCCATTCCTATAGAATGCTGCTGTGATTTTTAATAATTGTTGGTTTACGTAGAAGATAAAGTAGCATTCGTTCATTTGCATTTACAGTCCACAGTCACAGCTTGCCCTTTTAGTGGAGGGCTCACTTTTCCTGTAAGATGCTGCCTCCATTCCATAACAAGCCCTTGATAGATGAGAATTTGAAGCTTCCAATGACAGTCTGCCTCTTCCTTCCTGCCGCGTGTAGCTGCATCAGGCTCCCAGCCTCCCCCCAGCCACATAATAGGAGGCTATTGATTGGAAATCTGTGCAGGGGGACGCTGTAATTGTATATTAGATATTTGCGTTGGCTCGCAGAGCCTCACTAATGCAAGCACGTCTGACGTTTCCGTAGCATGCAGCAGCAGAAGGGCAGAGGAGTGGTAGAGACAGGCAGGCACAGGAGGCGAGACAGCTGTGAAGACAGAGACAGCCAGAAGCAGAGGGGGAGAGAGAGAGCAGGCGTGTTAAAGAATCCTTGTTGAAAGGAAGCTGAGTAGAAAGAATCCCAGGCTTCTTCCCACTTGTTCAGCACCAGGGTTTGGGAGCTGTGGAAACACACAGGAGACAGATGATGAATCTCAGTAAGAACATCCTGCATTCAATATATTTATAGCTGGAAATGTCTCCATTGATCCTCTCTCCATGCGCACGGGCTGATCTGGGGAAGAACAAAACATTTGTATATTGGGAGTGCGCTGCAAGTGGGCTTGTCTTATTCTTACCATCATTTTTTTTTGTGTTCCGTTTCTCCTTAACCCTTTTGCTGCCAATACACTTGCCTCAAACAGCACACGTACAAATACAAAATGTGCTTTATGTTTCATAACATTGTATTGTTCTTTAATTGCCTCTAATCTGTGTCATTTTGTTGTTCTCTTTTTTGTAGATGACTTTTTAGACAAGAAGCGAGAATGCTCTCCCAACAGTAACAGCGAGTGCCCAGTGGAAAGCAAGAAAGCCAGAAGCGAGTCTCCAAAGGGTGAGTGGCGCTTGGTGCGCTCCCTTAAAGCTAGTATTGGCAGGGGGCGGGGGGGGGGGGGGGGGGGGGGGGACGAGACTGTGTATCCTGTAGAGGGGGCGTGGATGGAGGGAGGGAGAGTTGTCAAGGTGATGTGTTGTCAGAGTGTCAAAGTGGAGTGGGAGGGAGGAGGCAAAGGGCCACCGCGAGGATAAAAATGCCTCATTAGTCCACCCTTTCTTTGCTAGCAGGGACATTACTCCTCTGTGCCCTAATGATTTGCTCTGCATGCAGATGGGTGTTAATGAGGCGGCTAAAACTTTACATGATGTCAGCCCAGACATTAAGCAGTGATCCAATCCATTCCTAGCTGACAACAAGGAACAGGATGAGGAAGGGTATTGTCAAACTCTATGGCTTCCCTCTCTGGCAGCTGCTTTTACTTAGTGACTATGTATGGGACTTGTGTGTGGGCTCTGTATCAGCTCTACACCAATGCTTTTCCAGACTTTGCTATTTTACTCAAATAATATCAATTATAATAATTTTAGAATAGTCTATAGAATCTATTTGACATGCCTTTGGCATTTTGGGAATCTCCTACTGCCAATGGCTTAGGTATTGTGTGTAAGTATGTATATGTAAAGAAAGGGAGAGAGCAAGATATAAATATACACTTTTCTGGATTTCAACCTAAATGATAGAAAAAAGACATTTGTTGTAAGTTGAGGTTGCTGGTGTGACACATACGCACACTTATACATTCCCCTTCATAGAATTTGCTTTTAACTATTACTTCTAATTTTGGCATTCCTTTGTGTGTTTTAAAAGCTCCATTTATCCATTTACAGTGAGGACTGTAGCTGCTAACAGGAAAGCTGATATTTTTTGATTTCTTTCCCACAAGAAATGGGATTCAAGGAAATGCACTCTTGCCTCAGTCTGCACAGTGGTTAATTACACTGCGCTCAGAGCAGGGAAAAATGGAGATGAAAAAACATAGCAATTAATTCTCTAAGCTTCTGTTCACGCTACCAAACAAAATTAATCAGAAATAATTAGTGTTTTTATTTTTGGAGTCTCTATAGATTCTTTCCTTTGTTTTGAGGTCTCCTTGAATCTTTCTCATTACAGGACTAACTTGACACAATGAACCTAGTTGGTGGCCTTGAAATCTTTTTAACTGCTTCACTGCCAAACACTTTCTGGTTGACACATTTAGGCTCCATGCACACTAGCGGTTTTTTAAGCTCCTAGAAGCTGTTATTAGCATTTAGAAGCTAAATTGTGTTTTTTCTATGGGCCATGCACACTACTTAAGGCTATTAGCATTTTTTGGGCCGCAGCGTCTAGGAGCAGAAAAAAAATTGTTTTTGTTGAGTTTTTGGAACATTTTTCCTTCAGAACAATTGCTAAACACTCGTAAACGCTCCTAACAGCTTTTTTCTAGCCTTTTTTTCTATATGTACTGTAAAAACGCTAATAAAATGCCAACACTCCTAAACGCTACTACCAGCGTTTTTTTTCCTTCTTAAAAGAAAAACCCGCTAGTTTGCATGCAGCCTTATGTTAGTACTCCTTGTGGCCATCCTCTGAGCGATGGGGCTTCCATTTACTGTTGGGGCATTTTCTTGTTCTTTCTATGAAATGTATCTTTGATCTCTTAAACAAAGAGGTGGGCTCCTAATGTTGTTCTCTACTTATTATTTTAGTGGATGACTTTCTGGCTGCTTTGTTTTACCCTGCCAAATGCTGGAGTTTTGCTATAACCTTTTTTGGGGGGGGGGACTTGTGTCCATGGGATCAGTTTGAAATGCTTGAGAATATTCAGAAGTTATTTGCAGGTGCGGCTGATTTCTTCTGACTTGAATTTGACCTGTTTCAAACAAGTTTTGCATTCTAATAAACTTGTATGGAAAGGCAAAACCTGTCTGATGCGCACAAAAATCTGTCCGCATAGGCCCTTGCAGTGGTTGATCCACATACCTGCTTATGAATCAGTCTCCAATGATTGCAATGGCTTATGTCATGTGTTGAGGACCACCTTGTACCACAGGACACTCAGATAATAACCAATTACATTAGAAGCTTCCTTATCTTTTTTTTTCCTGTTTTTGGCAAGATTGAAATGATGGGAAATTGCAGATCTAAGTAAATATAGGTTTATCATAATGAATGTACCAAAAGGGTTCACTTGGCAGATGTATCAGATTCCTTCCATGATACCGACCAGGTCAGATAGTGTGTCAAACCGCTCATTACACATTTCCATATTAACTGGTCCTAGCAAGGCTTCCTGTTGAACAGAATGTTGCATGCAGTGTTGGGCCTGTGACAGTCTGTTGACTTGTAGTGCTTTTCCCTGAAGGTAGAGAGTGCTCTGTATTCAGGCAGAGGGTGACCAAAGAACAAGCACTGGATGCTTCCAACCCCCATGAAATCTCAGCGTAAGGATTTGTCCATCCCCTCACTGGCATACCATTTATTCCAATATGGCATAAAGCAACATGATGATGTTTGTGCCAGTTCTACTATACCAATGTTTCTAGTGTGCGAGCTGGGGAGTTGAAATATTAATATAACTTTAATCATCTATTTATAATGTTAACATTTTAAACAGCACTGAAATGATGCCACATACAGACATCAGACAGTAAGAAGGAGAAGACTCTGCTAGTATAAGCTTACTTTCTTAAAGTGGAGTTCCACCCAAAAGGGGAAGTTCCGCTTTAATGCTTTGTCCTCACTCCTCATTAAGGATTGGGACCTTTGGCGAGCGGGTACCCGAATTTGACAGGTACCCACTCTAACTTCTGCTGTGATCGCCGAAGGTGATCGGAAGCGGAAGTTGTCCTCCCTCTCCGTAGTCTTTTGGGACATGTGACAGGTCCCAGAAGACTACGGGGCCATTGACAAAGCACAGCACTTCTCGTGCATGCTCAGTGGGCACCCGGCTGTGAAGCCGCGCAAGCTGTCACAGCCAGGTGCCCACACTAAGGATGCCGGCGCCAGGGAGAGAAGACTGCCGGTGAAACCAGCAGTGCTGAGGACACTGTTGGACCGAGGGACAGGTAAGTGGCTGTATTTTAAAGGTCAGCAGCTACAGTTTTTGTAGCTGCTGACTTTTATTTTTTTCCAGGTGGAACTCCACTTCAAGCTTACCACACATATTAACAAGCTTTTCAATCCTCTTTAGATTCACCAATAACTATGTAGTGGAAGTCCTTCCTGATGGAAATTAAATTATTGAGGTAGGCTCCCATACTCATAGCTGGTCGTAAATCTGTGAGAAAAGTTAGATGAAGTTGATTAGGGACTTGTAACTCCTCAGCAGTAAAAGGACACATGCTGCCATTGCTCTTGCAGTCCATATGATTGGTTCCTGTGCATTGGATTGTGAAGAATGAGGGCTAACTCTATCATTACTTTTAGGGGTGCCAACATTTCAGTTCCTTACCTTTTTAAAGCCATTTCCCCCATTGTTTTTCAGTCTTCCAAATGCAATTACCTTTCAGAAGATATATAGCTCATAATTTGACCTTTCAGTGACCTAGACAAACTTTTAGCTTAATGGGAAGACAGGAGCTGTTAATTGGCTGTGAAAGCAATAGATTCTGCTTTGGTCACCAGATAATTGTTCTTCTTGTGAGTGAGAGGGGAAGACAGACGGACAGATGCTGCTGTCTAGCCCGTACATCGCCTCTCTGGTGCCTGCTGGAGATTTGGTTGGATCAATGTCCAGCCTTTGTCCATATTAGCTGGTAATGACCACCGCAGACACATGAAAGCTGCACTGAGCATGGTATTAGTGAGGGCTGAGTCCACTCAAAGCTCCGGATCAGGTTTTGTCTGGGCTGCTAATGACTCCTATCTTAGCGTTTTCTCTTTTTTCCCTAATACAGGAAAGAAAAGTAGATTATTCTGTCAGTATGCACACTTCCAGTCATCCCCAAATCTTTGTCAGCAAATTTAAAATCTTCCTTAAGGAGCACTTTTCCTGTTAGATATTTTAACAGATCTCTATACTACAGAACGTAAAGGTGGATAGGTGAAATTTGATTGGTTCTATAGATTGCCATGGCTTGACGTGTTTTTCTAAGAGAGGCCTTAAATCAAAGTAACCTGTGGAATGATTGAACTACATAGCATTGTTCGTAATAGAAAATTAACCAAACCAGCGGTATATTGTATGCCCTAGAGCAGCCATTTGATTGGTTGAATCAGCAATCCAGTGTACACAACAGCATCAAATAAAAGAGCCCAATAATCACTTGCTGGTTTCTTCTGACAATGCTGGAAAATGTGGACCATACTTAATTGAACATTCTCTTGCAGAAAACTCCCAAACTCCCTTGCTGGAAGAGCCATTGGCTCAAATGACCCCAGAGGAGCATTACAGACGCATGATGTCAGCACTTAATGAACACAGCAGCTTTGAGGAGCAGCAACAGCGGCTCTACCAGCTGGCGAACACCATGGCTGTACCTACACACAGTGGTAAGATTTACCATATAATTGATATCTATTACTGGTTGTAACCGACTAGAGAAACATTTGTTTGCCTAAATTACATTGTGCATTGCTAAGCCAGAGAGCTACTACACCTTTAAAAGGAACTGTTCGGAGTCATTTGCATTGAGTTCATTGGATATCAACATTACATAGTTGCTTAGAATATCCACATTACATAGTTGCTTAGAATATACAGCTGACTTTATTTTACTTATTGGTTCATGTAAAATTTTCAAAGTCTTCAGTGCTTTACTAGTTGTTCAGGTATAATATAGTTATATTAAGATAATTCTGAGCAAATCTTTCAACTGATTTGATTTCTTTTATTTTTAAAAGCAACACCAAGCATCAAATAAAGCAAATGAATTGCTAATGTTGTCCAGAAAACATTTCTATGTCACAAGGCCCCCTTCATTTTAATTTTACATATCATTTATTGTAGGCCGATTCAGCAAGATTTTCACTGCACTGAATGTGGCCCTAAGTCTGTGGAGAGCAGAGCTTAGAGAGTATGTTGGGTTGCATTTTTGCAGGTTTACGTAGGCTCAGGAATATTAAATAAATGAAGTATACCAGTAACTATAGGGGTTAGAATGTGTGGAAGCCAGCTACAAGAGATGAATTCTAGGGTGAAGGGTGGAGCCAATCACCAGCAGGGTAGCCTGTGTCAAAATCTTCATGTGTAAATTGAGGGTATTTTTATTATGTAATTTTTACAGCAAATTCTGGAATGCTTTCCAACTCAACAATTTTGTGTTCCTAAGATGGAAGAAGTCTTCAAATAAGCAGATCCGGTCTGCCATTTTGCTGGCCCAGATAACGAACCTGTAGGCCAGTTTGTTTATTAAAGTGCGCATATGTGGCTTAGGCCATATTCCTCTCAATGTCACATTGTATGACTATTATATGGCTCCTGGAACAGTGAGCTGGTGATCTGATGGTCAACCAGTTGTATACGATGGAAGAAGGCAGCATGGTTTTGGTAGATTGTACCATTTGTGCTCTTGACTTTGGCGCCGAGCTGATACTGCTATCATCTCAGAAGGCCCATCTAGTGTTTGCAGCGGGACTCATGGAGACAAAGTCACTTGAAGTAACACCAGCTGTTTTCACAGGAACAGGACCGTGATTCAGTGCACAGATTTTAATAAATCAAGGCCGCTGCTTGACTAACCCGTTAGGGCTTTGATTTATTAAAATCATTACTCTCAATCGTGACGGAGAGTCAAAGGGTGGCCTTGATTTATTAAAATGTACCAGCCTGAGGGGGAAGGGATCCATGTCTCTAGATAGTAACAGATTCTAGGCTTGCCTAGGATGGAGGAGGAGAAAGCAGATAACATCCTCAGCTATGTAGGGGGGCACAAACAATTATACATTCTGTTCCTATATCTCAGGGTGCAAATCAAAATAAAAATACGCTGTGATATAACATAAATAAATTTGCACCTCTTATAGTTCAGGAAGAATCTGTATGAAGCTCCCTAGCAACATGGAAATGTAGATAAGATTTAAGCATCTAACATGTCTTTCTTACAAGAATGGTATCTGTAATTAATAATTATTACTTCCACCACATTCTCTAAAATGTGTTTAAATCTAGCTAGCTTAACTCTGCTGGTAGTTGAAGTAATTTATTTTATGTTCCGCTTTCATTACCCATCTTGTTTACATATTCATTTAGCTTTGGAAGTATTCTCTATGTTTAGTGATGTTTGTACTTAACGTGTTAATAGGGAAGGACTGCATGTCCAGTTGTATACATGTACTTATACAAATATTGAAAAAACTTTTTGTTTGGGTTCATATATCCAATGTACCCAATCAAAGGCAAAGCCTTCAAAATATTCTAATTAAACATTTATCAGTTTTGCTAACTTGCTGCATTGATTTTGCCCAATGGTGGCTGTTTTTTTCCCCTCTAGATCAACATATATAGAATAATGAAAACCAGCCTAAGGCTTCATGCACACTAGTGTTTTTTTTAAGCTCATAAAACATTGGGAAAAATGCTGGATAAAAAAAAACGGTGGTAGTAGCGTTTTAGGAGCCTTAGCGTTTTTCCAGTACATGTAGAGGGGGGAAAAAAAGTGAGCAAAAAGCTGTTAGGAGCATTTTATTAGCATTTAGAATTTGTCCTGCTGGAAAAACGCTCCAAAAAAACTCTACAAAAACTATTTTTTTCTGCTCCTAGATGCTGAAGCTCAAAAAATGATAATAGCTCAAAGTAGTGTGTATGGACATATAGGATAACACTATTTAGCTTCTAGGAGCAGAAAAATATATGCTGATAATAGCTTCTAGGAGCTTACAAAATGCTAGTGTGCATGAAGTCTGAAAACACGAGTTGTAGAAGTTTTCTAGCCAAGAGGTTTTTAATTAGGGTAAGTGCATTTGAGCTCTTAGGGACTGTCTTAGACCTAGCCAGTGTTGGTTGCTCTTAGTACAGCTTACAAAAGAACTGCCTTTTCCACCACTCATGCATCTGCATTGAACTTAGTCCTACTGAGATTTGTCTGTCTACTCCTACAAAACAAAACAGCCAAGCACAAGTCTACCCTTCAAGTACCAGAAGGTAAGGGAAGGCTGTGTTGGCTGGTTGAGCTGTGCAAATCATTGTTAGAGTCCTACAGGACTCTGGTAATGGTTACAAGCCTGTGTACACCTTTCCATAAGGTTACAGACATTCTTTAGTTGCCTAAGGCAGATTACATTGACCCTGATTTACTAATGGAGTAGACGAGAGCATGTTCAATTTCAAAGTAAATTTTAACTTTGCAAAGAGTTGTACTGACTTTAATCATCCATTCAAGTACAAGCAAAAATCCTATTTTTTTTTTAGAATACATAATTTGGTATTCTTTTCAAATTGGATATTCTTTTTGTATTACCTTTTTCCCTAAAGTGAACAAGGTGAAAATGTGAACATCCTGTACTCTTTTAGTAAATCAACCCCAAGTGTCAAGGATATTAAACCCTCAACCCTAATCAGAAATCCTGTATAATTAAGTGGTTGATGGCAGACTGAACTACATGGTGGTCCTTTCTGATTCCAGGAGCAGGATATCTCCAGTGGAATTCTTAGTTATGCTCAAATGCCATATCCATTACAAATATTCTTCTTTAATAGATTCAACATAACATAGTTTAAACAAATATTTAGGGAGTCAAGCTGACACCTCAGCAAGATAAAAGAAGCAGACGTGTGACTCAATATACTTTTGCTCACCCAACCTTAAAATATAGGTTTTGGATGGAATTCACCTCTAAATTAACTATAATATATCAGTTGATGCCACTTCATGTACAGAGAAATATTTAGACTTTATATAACTTGCATCAGTAATCAGTTGCCAGATATTAGGCCTGTTTAAAGAATTTATTAGGTGTTCGTGTCCTTTGTATTAATGGTTTAGTTCACAGTCTGCACTGGGCACAGGCTATATGTATCATGCATTAAATAGTAAACATCAGTTTTAATGGTCTCGCAGTGTATCTTGGAGAAGACAGTGTTTAATTGTGCTTCGATCCCCTCTATACATAAGGGGGTTAGAACAGCACTGATGGCTCTGCTGAGCAAGGGGACTAATATTTTAGGCTAGGCTTGTATCCTCTTCCGGGCAGCTGTGATATAAATGCAGATCCATGAAGATTTTTATCTGCGCTTTCTCCCGTCTGCTATTAATCCTGCCTTGTGATCCTGGCTTTACCCGCAGCCTCCTGGGCTTACAGTGTCACTCCATGTGATATTCCAGCTGTCAGAGAAACCGCCTGGACCCTGTACATTTATAGAGGCAGCAGGGGACTGAGTCAGGGTACCATATCTGGGCCTGTCACTGATAGCAAGGGACATAAACGGCATGTCAACAGCAGTAGCAGAAGCACTGCATGGATTTAACAACAAGAAGATGCAACAGATACAAGCTAACCAGTAACCTGTTTCATCGATTTCACAGTTATAATATTATTTAAAGCTGAACTTCATGCAGACAGTTAACTACACATATGACATACATATGAGAGCAGTTGTAGCTGCCAAACGATTTTTACTTCTTTCCATCCAGTCATGAGCTTTACACAGCTCTGCCACACATCAGAGACCTGTCTGGCAGGCCAAAACAGATATTTTCTTTGTAGCAGTGAATATACACTTAAAGGCAGGGGCAGACTGACCATTTGGAAACTCGGCACTGCCCGAGGGCCCGGGGTCAGTAGGGGGCCCCATGAGATGCCCCTGGTACCTTTTTCATAGGCTTTTTTGAGTTTGGGCAAGGACACAGGGGCCCCATGATCCCCTATTGCCTGGGGGCCCCATGAGTTGTCAGTCCGCCCCTGCTTAAAGGCTTTGTCCTTCCCCAGTCTGATGAAAAGAAGCAACACAGCTCACCTTTCTGTCACTCTGCATTTTCCTGCTATCATCATCTCCCTTGTTAGCACATGAACATTGCAGCAGGTCAGATTGGCTTCTAGAGCAACTTCTCCCTCTACCAGTCGGAAATCTGTAGGAAGACGGCAAGAGGCTCATAACCAGTAAGATGCAGTACATAACCTGCTGGCATGATAAAACAATACATTTAGTTAATGAATACAGAATCGCATTCATTTGTGTTTATTTATATCTGATGAAGCTTGACAGACATGTCTAACAAAAAGTGAATGGGTGGGTTACACCAATCAAGTCCTTAGAGCCACTTTATATTTTACATAAGCTTTACCATGCTAATGCCATTTCAGAATGTTCCAGAATGTGCATAGGATACTTTCACATTATGGCACAGTTAGCTCTGTTTATTTTTTGTTATTTTTCTTTTATAACATAGTTGATAGTTGCATTTTGTTGCTTTCCAGCTACCTAGCTGCGAAATTATATTTTGTGGGCGCAGTACAGTATTATTCATTAATACTGTGTTCAATAGAGATAGTTCTGAAGCTTTAAAATAATATCTGCTTTGTTCTGAGATTTTGTGCCAAATATGAAAGAAAGGATGTGGTTCTTTAAGAGAGGCAAATACAGCGCTGATTCTTATCTCTGGGTGGTCAGACAATTTTAGCTTGCTGAATAATTCCGGCTTCCTTTAAATTCGCTGATGGCCCCCGCTCACCCTCCCATCTCTGTGGCTTGTGTTCCTGAAGCTGCCAGCTCTGACAGGCTATGACACCCCCGTGACTCTGCCAAGCGCAGCAGCCGGGAAGCCCCCCCAGGCTGAGCTGCCATATCTCATCTACACAGCGCGTCTCACAGATAGCTCGGCATCCAGGAACACAGTTGGTAACCTGGAGCTTGAGGAGCCAGGATCTGTGGCGGGCAGACATAGCCAAACTCAAAGCCCTTACCCCCAGGCAACTGGCTCAGCACCCCTAGAAAGGCAATTACCCAAACCGTCTTAATTGTATAAAAGCTGTATCTAGTTGTTATTATCATGCCATGATTCTGTTTTATTGTGATGTGTGATCCTGACCAAATGATGCTAGTATATGTTTCCTTTCAGTGCAGAACACAATAAAATAGATTTACATGTTCATTTAACGTGGTATTTAATGCAGATTTTTTTTTTTTTTTAAAGGATAATTCTTTAATATAAGGGGCTGTGAATCTCACTATCTATAAGCAGAGAGCAGTTAGGGTACAACTATGGCCTACTGTTAAAAAATGTATATTGTGCTGCAGATCGTAATTATAATATACAAGTGCATCTGCACTTACAGTTCATTCCATTGTAACGTCCCTCAAATGCCTGTTGATCCTGCCAGTGAAGTTCCCCTAATGTAGCGTCCTGTGATAGTATGGCAACAGTACTGCACTGCACCTGAATTCAGAGCAGGTTTGTTACTCCCATGTAGGCTGTGCCTGCTTGCAGTACAGTGGGATGACAAGATGTTGTAGAGGGACATGGCGATCAGTATTGCCACTGCTAATTAACAATCCTGTAGCTTGTCTGTTAGCACCTGACCACATCTAGTCCTGTCCACTGCTATCTGGATGGACATCACTGCCTCTGTTGCTGAAATCCCTTCTACTGTGAGCTGTAGCATCTGGGAGGGGGAGAGTGTGAGACATAACTGAAGAAGGAGTTGGCTCTGCCATTCAAGATAAAGGAGCTTTGTTTTTTTTGTTTATGGTACTGAGGCTTTTGCATCACATAGTAGCTGAATTTGGATTTTTAGTCGGTCATACAGGAGCCTTTATTTAGTACTTTATGATGGTATAAGGTACTTGCAAGATAGTAAACTATGTGTAATGGTTGCATCCCCTTTTCTCTGTAGTATCATGATAATTTATAAAACCCATGTTACATAACTTGTCATGGACGTATTTCATTGTACCCACTGATCATTTATACATCACGGGTGATGAGATTTTTACAGATTTAGATCTACCGAGCTGTGACATTTTCAGGAGGTAGGAGATGTTTGTATGAACGGATACTGTCATTTTACATATGCAGTATATCTGGCAGGTAGATGCATTGGAATCCTGTATCAAGTACCAGCGGCGACTTTTAATTTTCCCAGGTATAAAAAGGGATGCTAGCATGGCGGTACTACACACAGTAGTAAGTGGCAAGTGTGTTCTAATACTGATAGGTGGCTCACATGTCCAGAGACTGTTAATCAAGATGGCAGACAACAGTGTTAGTGCGTGCATGGAACAGTGTGTGGTGATTGACGTTTCTTGTGAACAAAAAAGTAATACCCATGGATATCTACAGAAGACTTCAAGCACAGTACGGTGATGAGACGCTCAGCCACAGTAAGACATCTGAATGTTGTAAACAGTTCAGAGATGGAGATACGTCCTTCAGTGACATTCCCGGCCATGGTGCTTCCCAACCCACAGCAGTCATTCCTGTGAACATTCAGCATGTGGAACGCCAGATAACCAGTGCATAACCTGTTGTGAAATTGCACAAGAGATTAATCTTTCTGTGGGAATGGTGAACACACACAATGATGGCAGCGTGAAGCAGGCTGTCCTAGGATGGTTCCGGCGTATTGTCAAATCTTTCTGTGCCAAAGCTTTTTAGGCATTAGTTAAACACTGGGATAAGTGTATAAATGTAGCAGGGGAGTATTTTGAAAAATAAATGCAATTTCCACTCCTTGAAATCCCCGTTTGACTTGAACACGCCTTGTATTTTCACAAAAAGGGTTGTAGCATTTAAAAAATTAAACTGTTGGCTTATGTTATAAAGATAATGGTTAAGTTGTGCTTTTTAAAAATCAGCATGTATGCAAGATTTTTGTTACATATGAAGGGGCCCTTTGGTAGACTGAAATCACAGTATTCTTGCACTAACCATAAACAACAGCTCACAATAAAACTGCACCCTCTCTCTCTGTTGTGAATTTTTATCTATGTATAAGCAGGCTGGCTGTACAGAAACCAATCAGTTGGCTACAGCCGGCAACACTGATCAGTGTGTTCTGACGAAGTATTCCCGCCATCAGAACATAATAGCACAGCAGGAGTGTTTCCCCTATTTACATCGAGTGTGTGGATGGGGAGATCGGGTCTTTTTTTTCCCCGTTCACCCTGCTGATTGAATGAGAAAAAATGATTAATGTATGGCCAGCTTAAGAGTGGGAAATCCTATCATGCTACTAATTGTAATGAAAGGAATTGGCCTGTTAGGACTAACCCAGTGGTAGAGTATTGAGTGCAAGCTCATTGCCACAATCAGAGAATTTTTGTACAGCGTGAAAAATCTTTTTGCAAGAGGGACAAGCAGAGGCAAGGTGTTGGTGTCACATCAGCTGCATTTGGTGAGTTTCAGGCCATATGTGGGTACAGGGCAGACGCCTCCTTAAAGATTCTCAGAGTCTTCAACCCTTCTGTGGCCCTCCTGAGCTTTCAGCAGGTAACCCATTCCCTTATAGATCTTTGAAACCCACTGGTAGATAAGACATCTAATGCATATGATGACTACTGTTAGTCAGCTGTGGCTGTCAGCTACCACTTACACTGGTTTCTATCATGTCTATTACACCAAGCTCTACTGTTGTCTTTGTGATACTCACCTGTGTGTGAGTACTTGGATAACCTATTCTGCAGGCACTAACCCAGGAACAACTTACAAAAGTATGCTCCTGGCTGTCTAGCTTGGAGAATTTCCAGTTTCATCTCTGCTATGAAGGGGGGGTAAGTAAAACCATACGGGTCCCTAGATGACTTTCCACGCATGTGAGGAATCCGACTTGGTCCTGTAGAGTAACCTCAGTCTGTGCATCTGAGACAGGCGTGAAATAAGTTGAAAAACCTCTGAAAATGCTTGCCAGTCAGGATTTATATGTGTGTGTGTGTATGTATGTATGTATGTATATATAAATATATATATATATATATATATATAAACTGTTTTTGACTGGTCGATAATTATCTGTGATGCCCTGGTTGACACTTGGTGAGGAAAAGTTGGCCCTTTCCACCTTCTCGCTCAGCCCCCTCCACCCAGGGGTGAGTCATTTGGCTGCATATGTTTTCTAGTTAACCGTAAGGCTCTAGCTCCAGTGGAACTGAAACATGTGGTTTTGATTGTGCAGAACTGAGAGAGGGAACAAGTAAGGGGGAGGAAGAGAAGCTAAAAAGGAAAATAGAGAGCGGAACAAAGAGGGCAAGATATGGAGCGGGGAGAGTGATAAAGAGCAGGATGAGCTTACTGAGCAGCCAGGTAATGATTGCTGCACATGGAGAGATGAGTAAGGAGTTCCGGAGATGTGACTTTGGGGGCGGAAGATGCAGGATATCTGTGTCAGCAGATGCCTTGTGAATAGCTTGCCTCACTCCTGAGTGTTTCAGCTTGAGACAATATCTACTCTTCTTTTTTCCAGATCTGTTGCGGGCACGCCAAGAAGTGGCAGCTGCTGTGGTGAGAAACCCAGGAGCGATGGAAGCTCACATACCCACCTCAAGTAACTCCTCAAGCCAGCGGAGGAAGCAAGGCCTGCCGCAGCATCGGGACACCTCCCACTTCACAGACAGGTACAGAGAAACCTTTGGGCAGTCCTCTGCTTTGTGCATCTATAGCAAGAGCATTTTCCTAGAACTTATGTATTTAATAACATAATTCACCATGGTATAAAGCGTTCCATATGGTTCTACTAGTTTAAAGAGCATGCAAACATAAATTGAAAAATGGCTTTTATAACAAAGCCAATCCTAATAGTAAAGGATAATTGTATAAACATTTCCAGAGATTATCAGATTTTAAAATGTTTGAGATAGCATTGGGGGAGGAGCAGTGGTTTTCCATACACAGCTGACTTCTATCAGGTAAGCCCAATATACATGGATTCATCAAAAACTATACCTAGGGGGGCATTTTGGGACAGAAATTCTTGGAGGAACATGTAGCAGAGCTGCAAACTAATGGTTCCATATACATGGGGATGGTACTTTAGACACTGCCAAGAGAAGTTCCCAGGAGGTTATAAACAACTGGGCTGCAAAGTTTATTAAAAACATCCCAAGACCATTACTAAGACTATTAAGGAGATGTGGCCTGCACCAGGTGGTACTTTAGTCCTCTTCTCAGGTATTAGAGCTGCACCCGAATTTTTATTAGGTCCTGCAGAGAATAAGCCACGCACCTGAACCACTGGCTGCGCGGAGGGACAAGAGTGCTGGTCTGGCCCAGCTTAAGCTGAGGCTCCTGGATCAGGTTGTACATACAGGTAACAAGGGGGAATGGTTAGCATCTGGTGGAGTATTGGTTTCTTTAAATGTATAGTTATCCCTTAAGGTGTAATTGATTGAATAGGTGAAAATCTAAAGTCACATGAAGCAGATGTGGATTACTCTGCTAGACTAAATTGGTTGTCCTTTACCCTGGCAACAATATCATACAACATTACTGCTTGTGTGAAACAGTTGGATCCTCTACTGCCACTGACTAAATTAGAAGTTACTGTCTGCCTGTGCAAGCTGGGTTCTACCTAAAGGTGCATTCACACACACTAATGCACCCTGCCTGCGATTAGATGCAGAAACCTCAGTGGAGGGTCCTGTCATTATTTGCAAGTAAAGCAGCCCCATTGAAAGCAATGGGGGCCCACTGGGGTTCTCTCATCCAATCACAGGCAGGGTGCATTTGTAGGTGTGAACGCCATACATGGATTAAAATTTAGACTGTTCAGCAGGTACCGGCAGAATGTTGATCCATGTATGGGCAGGCTGATTGTACAGAAGTTGATTAGTAGATTGACTTCTCTACAATTAGCCTGTTGGAAAATTTCTGTGCGATCAGTGCTGCCAGAAACGCTGATCAGTGTATTCTGATGACAGGGAAACCTCTCTGCTGTCAGAATACAATAGATCAGAGGGAGTGATTCCTCCATCCACACTAAATGTGTGGATGGGGAAATTGGGTAATTTAGTTTTCATTCAATCCACTGGTTGAACGAAAAAAATAAAAATAAAAAATGAATGTATGGCCTGCATTAGTCTTGCAAGCATGATGTCTCTTTGAATCTGCCTGAGGCGGACCCCACCTACTTGTTTTTAGCTTGCAGACACAGCCAATCACTGCTTATATGATCACCACCTCTGGAGACTCCAAGTAGTATGTGCAAGGGAGCTATATTATTGTGGGGTGAGAAGAAACTCATTTGCTCCTAGCATGCCATTTTCCTTCTGCTATTTAGGTATTCTTTTTTTACCTAATCACAGTTATTCTTTAAACATTAAATGATGTGCGACATAAATGATGTAAAGAAGCCACAGGTAAATGCACCTTTGTTTAATAAATTACATGCATCTATGAAGGTACAAAGTGGTAACTAGTACAAGTGTTGTGGGTAAAGTGTAAGAGATGGTGCCAGCTTAGTGACATCAGCAAGACTGTAAAGAGTGCAGATTGAGAGGTGCGTAATGTGTGAAAATGCACAGTGAGTAAGCAGTGGTGTGTGGGCAGGCTTTTAAGAGCCCTGACGCACACAGGCACATTGAGACTGGGAATTTGCTAAGCTCCATCCTTCATAACAACATATTTGAAGTAGTACTTTAACAATCATACACAGAAAAGCTTACAATATAAAAATCCAAGGTTATCTAGCACTGAATTTCACAGTAGTTTTAATGTGCTGTCACTTTAGTAAAGCAGACCTTACTTTACTACCAAAGTAAACAAACCAACAACAAAAAAAAAGCAATATAATTGAGTGTCCTGTGAAGTGTCTACATTTGAGAATCGTAAGATATACACAAAGGGCTTTACTAAAACTGGCGAGTGCAAAATCTGGCGCAGCTCCACATAGAACCAATCAGCGTTCAGGTTTTATTGTCAAAGCTTAATTGAACAAGGTGAATTTAGAAGCCGATTGGCTACCATGCACAGCTGTACCAGATTTTCCACTCTCCAGTTTCAGTAACTCAACCCCACAGAGTGTTTACTCCAGTTTGCAGAAAAGGCAGGGACAGGACAAATCTTGTGACAGGGTGGGATCTGTACTGTAAAAACATAAGAATGTTTTCATATAAGAGGCAAATTAACTGTAATTTTGTTCTCTTAGCATCTGCTTTAAGTAGTGCTTTCCAGGTGGTTAAAGACTACATCATGTGCTTTCCAGGTGGCTAAAGACTACACCATAATATGTTGCTTCCATAATCCCTCTAACTTTCAGTCAAATGTTTGATGTTTTTGTGGAATTCAACATTAGGTAGAAACCTGTGACTCCGTTTACACTTTGCGTAGCATCACAGGTACATTAAGCATCTCTAAAGCCGTTTGCTCCCATGTCACTTCTATGGACCTGCACATGTAATAGGACCACAAATTTCACCTTTAACCTTCTGAAAGTACATTCTGCTGTAAAGAAGGATGATATAGGCCACATCTTCCAGCAAGTGTGTCTTCAAACCGTTGCAGGTTGTCTCTTTACAACTATTAGCATAGTGCAGTTGACCGCTTTGTGTACTGTTTTCCAGTGGTCTGAATGATTTATTGTAGCACCAATCACAAAAAGTGAGGAGAGGTCTTCTGACAATTTCACCAGGGTCAGTATCAAGTGGCAGCTTAGCTAGAAGCAAGGGGAAATTTGCACTGCTTAAAAAAATAGGAGTTTGCTCTTGTGTTGGTTCAGATCAGGTCAACAGGTGTGGTTTTTTTTTTTTTAGGTAATATTTATTTCATTTCCACTCTAGTGCATAGTCAACTGCAGTGCTCAGAATCTGGCAGCCTTCTTTGACTGCCAGTGACTCAAGAAGATATTTTATTTTCTCCATTTATGTGTAATTCTAATTCCTGGCTCTTGGAGTTTTCCTTCCCCCCCTTTAGTCCCTGTTGTTACACAGGGAGTGCTGGTTTCTAGGCAAGAGCAAAGTGGTCTTAAGATGTTAATCTCACTCTTTGGAAGGATGACTAGGCGCAGAGCTCTGGAAGGATGTGTAGGATCAGTCTCTGCAGTAGGATTGCATTAAGGACGATAGCGTTGTGGGAACATGTGTGAGCGAAGGGGTTTGCACTTTGGCTAACCCTTCCCATCATGGGGAAAGCTACAGACACGCCAGTTGTGGGGATTGCATGATTCCTGTCCAGCATAACTCCAGGAAAACCTCCCAACCTCTGTGTGGCCTGGATGTCTTCCAGGGAAGCCAGAGGAAAAGATGAAGAAAGCATGTTTGGGTGGGGGAAAGAGCAGGAGAGAAGAGAGCAAGTGTGTCTGAGGAGCTAGATCTGGCTCTGACCTGTAATTTCCATCTGGAAGGGAGCAATTCTTCTTTTCTGCGCCAGACTTCATGAGGGAAGAGGGGAATGTGGTTGTTGTTTAGCACCAGATAAAAGATCATTGTCTGGGCAGGACCGGATCTTCTGCCGTTGACGCTGGCAGAGGACTAGTAAATAACGGTTGATTCCAGTAAGGGGGCGGGAGAGTCCTGGGGCTTTCTATAGGATCAGTGTTTGGCAAACAAAAACTGCGGTTGTTTTTCTTCTGTCTGGTGCAGGCTTGACAGGGTGGGATTATCTGGCTCCCAGAGGGGCCTGTTACCAGACACTTTTTTTTCCCCTAGCTAAATAGCGAGACAAGCCTGAAACTCTTGTGACATTGTCAGACTGCAGATAAGCTGAGCTGCTCTCCACTTCTGTTGTCACTCTGGTGACACTAACCCAGCAATTAATAACTTTTTTTTTTCTAAAAACACTTTTACTGACACATAGAATGTTTTAAACAGTATAATTATCTAGTGTTAAACATTTCCTAATATTGCATTTTAGGAACCAAGTTTTTTTTAGAAACGTCCTGTCACTTATTCAGGGGCCTGATCTGTCCAGGTAATTCTTTATAATTTGAGTATCCTGTGATGGACGTATTGTGGAACATTGGAAAAGCTGCACTTTCACACCTTAAAGTGGTATTAAACCCAAAAACAAACAATATATCGCAGCTTGCCAATGTGGTTGTTAGACTCATTTTCCTTTTTTTAGGCTTTTTTCTCCCCCTTTATATCACTGTGTGATCTTCCAGTAGCACACTTCCTACCTTAGGGTGTCTGTATTCTGGACTAGGTAAAGGACTCACCTTTAAAACTTTTTAACAGCAGGATTGTCGTTCCGGGGAGAGGGTAGTGATAGACTGGCAGATTGAGATGGACATGTCTAACAAATTTAATATGCAGTTACAGCAAACAGTTTTTCCTTTTGGGTTAAAGAATTTATATAAATTAATAAAAGCTGACAATTGTAAGCACCCCTGTCAGTGGTAAATGGTTTGTCTCAACACTCTAACTTCTACTTTATCTGGACAGCTTGGTCTGTTAAAATAAGTTGAAAAATAACATAGGGCTATTTCACACACAGTGCGATGACTGGCTTTTTTTCCACACTGAAAGAATGGCAGTCAACGCTATAGTACACAGAGAACAATTATTTTCAGTGTGTCCTATTTACACTGCAACGCAGCCTGGAGCTGCAATGCAGTGATCTGCGATAAAGTGCAGATATGCTACAATTTATCGCAGCATTCCACGCTGGATCACTTGTCACT